ACTTTGGTTCTTTGAGGTTCTACTCTGGAGCTGAATTTTTAACTAGCGCCTTAATGAATGATTTGTTCTTGATCATCAGAGGAAATACTCTGTTGCTGTACTGAAAAGTAATCTGATTACTGTGAAGTCATGCAGTTCACAGTCTTTTTTTTTTTTTCCTTTATTTTTGGTTTTAACTGATCAGACGGTGAGTAGAGACAGAGAAACGTGGGGGAAGGACATGCAGCAGATGAGCGGCTGGACTCGACCCGCCGACTGTAGCCCTGTTCATGGGTCGCGGTCGGTCCAGTTGAGCCCAGTTCAGAATCATTTCATTGACATTACACAGGTGTGTTGACTGTAAATGTTGGTTAATCAGAGTGAAGCGGCTCAGATGACTGGACGTCTGAGCTGCTGCTTCTGTTCTTTCCTCAAGTTCTGTATTAACACTTGATTGGTCCGTGTCACTCAGCCTTGCTGCTGATTGGTCCCTCACAGTGATAAATAACGCTGTAGATTCTCACTGACGTCTGCTCAGCTGCTCACTGCTTCTTCATCCCTGGAGATTCTCTGGTACTTTAGTTACTCTGGGTACTTCAGTTACTTGCAGTGGGGAGTTTGCTGCTCGTGACACTGATGTGCAGCAGAACAGCGTCTCTGTCTGTCTCGTCATGTGGCTTCAATCTGCCTGCTGATTGGTTGATTGGTGGCAGCATTCAGCAGCATGTGATTGGCTGATTAATGGCCAAACGCTGCATGTGATGTCATGTGAGGAGAGAACTGACCGCTGTGTGTGTTTCTCTGTTTCTGCTGATCGACTGAGAAGAACTTTGTCAGAAGCTTTAATTCACATAAACTTATTATTGTTAAAGTTAAACGACTGCAGTCCAGCTGTGTTTCTGTACAGATGGACACCAAAGACGTTTTAACCAGACTAAACAACCCAGGACTCGTTCAAAATATCAGATCTGTCCAAACTGACAGAAGCTTGTTTGCATTTTCTGTCCACTCCATGAGGAACTGATATCTAAAATCTAACATGCTGATGTTCAATAAATGTCTCCACTTGCAGTGGTTGCAGCATCTGGACCTCGCTTCGTGGCTCAGTTCAGGCTCTTGGTTCACTGCAGGAAAGAAGAGAGTCTTGTCTAATCCACAAAGTGGGACACAACGTCTTTATTCCCAAACCAGAACCATGACGTTAACCTGGTCTCTGGACCCTGTGTGTCCTCCCTCCACCCCGAGCTCCTCCTGCAGCTCAGAAACATGAAGTCCAGACTCCTTCACTTCACTGTGTTCGCTGCTTTTTGTGCCTTTAAAGTTCTGCAAACTTGGATTTGAGCAACTTTTGGCAGTTTTGAACATGTTTTGTACTTTTTTAAATCACTATGGACACATTTTATTTTGGACTTTGGATTTTCTTTATCATTTTGGACAAAGATGAAGTAAATTTGGACTTATTTTTATCATTTTGGACCATTTTGAACTGATTTTGGACAGGTTTCTGTCAGAGGTGGAGAGTTCAAAGTCAGTCTGCCCACAGAGACACAACTGCTCTCCCACAGAAACAAACCTGTCTGAGAAATCGTGTTTCTGAACATTCAAGAAGGTAAACACGTTGAAGGTGACCCCAAAAATACAACGACTCACCTGTGAGTGAGCAGAATGTGGACTCAAACACTTTCTGAACAGAATCTAGCAAATGATCTGCAGCTGGAGTCACAGGAAACACAAAGACAGAAGACATGAGTTCACGTTCTTCTGTTCAAGGCTCTGATAACAACCAACAACAGTCAGCAGCTGTTTATCTGCTTCACCGCCTCCAGTTTGTCAGCAGCCGAACATCACGTCCACAGACCTGATGTCCACCATCAGGACGGAGCTGTCAGACTCGTATCCTGCTCAAACTCAGCCGCATGTTGTGTTGCTTAACCGTTAATCAGCTATAAACAAAAACAAAGATGAGCTCTGAACAGGACAGGGTGGCCGGGGTTTCCAGAGCTGATCGTCCACTAACAGCAAAGGTGGCAGTTCAATCCTTCTTGTTCAAGGGACTACAGCCACAGAGGTTTCCCAATGGCAGGGAAGCTCTGTGTCTGTTGGACTGTGAATGGATGAATTAGAAACATGATGCAAAGCACTTTGAGGACCACTAAGGTAGAAAAACACCATATTAGTGCAGAGAACCAGACCTGAAGGGATCATTCTGCTNATACCTTTAGTACTCTGGGTACTTTATCAGTGATCTCTGTTTCAGATCATCAGTGAGATCTCAAAGAAAGTCGCTCAGATCCAGAACGGTGAGTTTAACCCTGAATACTGTCTGTCTGTCTGTCCGTCTGTCTGTCTGTCTGTAGTCTGTCTGACTGTCGGTCTGTCGGTCTGTCTGACTGTAACCCGTCTGTCTGTCTGTAACCCGTCTGTCTGTCTCTCAGCTGGTCTGGGTGAGTTCAGGATTCGGGACCTGAATGATGAGATCAACAAGCTGCTGAGAGAAAAAGGCCACTGGGAGGTTCGGATCAAAGAGCTCGGAGGACCCGACTATGCGGTAAATAAACCGGAAGACCTCGTTTAGTTTGAATCCTCTGAACCAGAACCTAAGAATGACTCGTTTTATTCTGAACAGTCAGAGCAGAACCTGTCTGAGGAGGCTATGATCCAGGTTCTTACAGTTCTGTAAAATAAATGAAAGAACTGTTTCTGGTCTCCATGGTTCTGCAGCAGACGTCTCTGAGTTCTGTCTCCTCCTTCATGTGGTTCTGGTTCCACAGAGCTGCAGGACTTGATGCTGAAACATGAACCTCAGTGAAGGAGCAGGAGTTCAGAGGGTTGATCACTTAGCAGACTGGCAGAACTGTAGCTGTGCATGTTGATGATTTGACTGAGTGCTTATTGATCGGTATCGGTTCTTCCAGCGGGTCGGTCCGAGGATGTTGGACCACGAGGGGAAGGAGGTTCCGGGAAACCGCGGATACAAATACTTTGGAGCAGCCAGAGACCTGCCGGGAGTCCGGGAGCTGTTCGAGAAGGAGCGTATGTACTTCCTCTTACCTCACTTCCTGTTTCATGCTGTCTGATGATTGGTCCTCACTCATCATGTGACTCCCAGCTGCCCCGGCGCTGAGAAAGACGAGGGCGGAGCTGATGAAGGATGTGGACGCAGAGTACTACGGCTACAGGGACGAAGACGACGGCGTCCTGCTTCCTCTGGAGACGCAGTACGAGAAACAAGGTGAGAGCTTTGGTCCACCAGAC